CACACACACACACACACTCAAACAGTTGCTCGTTCTCACACACATAAAGTTTTCGTTTTTGTTTGCAGCGATAAAATTACATGTCAAATTGAATGTAACCTGCCATTTGTGCGCATTATGTTGGCCATAATTAAACGTCCAGTTAGCCGAACAACACCCGTCCTCGAATGGCGCTGGATGGCTGGTCAATCATTGGTTGATTTTATGGTCAACAGACGTTTGAACTTTGGTGTGAATGGTTGCGGAGCTGGGGCTCATTAAACTGGCGCCTCGTGGATGACCTCAGCATCTTCGCAAGAAATTCTTGCCGAAGGTCCTGCAAATCGCACTGCAAAAAAGCCTCAAAATCGAAACAAACTTTCGCATGAAGCCAACTTTTCAATTAGCGAAATCATTCATTTTATCAGCAGTCGTAAAATGAATATTTTATGATTATGCCAGTTCCTCGGTTCGAGAGCACGCGAATTATTCATGATATTTTGCACTTATATTTTGTTATTTTAATTGAGTTGACTCGCATTGGAAACTGATTTAAAATTAATTTTAATTTTATCATTCAATTGAGGCAGTTACAAGATTTATCTATTCAATTATGTTTATGGATCAACTTATTAGTGAGCACATGCTGAATGCACGACTGCAAAAATACCCTACACACAAAAAACGTATGAGAGCTATAGTCGATAAATGCTCGACTAGAAGACGCCGTGAGTCCTGCACCGAGCTGCTATTCCAATCATTCTAAGCTCCTTTTAGAATAAAAACATTATGTTTCTATGAGATCAATCACTTCCGTGTCTAATCTTCTGTGTACAGGGTATTATTAGATGGGATTCATCAATTTTTTATTACGTTCAATTATTTAGCATATGCAAAATATTCTAAAATAATATTCTCCGAATTTTTAAAATTCACATTTAGTGATAGAGATAGAGTAATAAATAAGTAAATAATGATAGAGACAGAGTTACGAGTGTTAATTTATTAAAATAAATGAAAATAAATCAATGCCTATTAAATATCATTTGTTAAGAACAAACTACACACGAAGCTTACGCTGGCAGCCTTTTAAGAGCAATTTCCATCATGAACCTTAAATTGTTTACCATTTTGATTTAAAGGGTTTTTCGCATTCGAATTATTTGAAGATTGGGCTTCAGCTCAAAGAACTATTCAAGTACGAATGACATTCAGTCCCTTTTCTGCTGGGTGCTCAAGTGAGCGAAATCAATGCGTTTTCTATGTTAATACAAATCAATCCGTCTAATCGAATCAAATGTTTTTAACAACTGAGCAGTTTCGTTGGCTCGGGCTCAGCTTTGTCTTTGTCGCAAACTTGTAAAACTAACGAAAAAATCAGCAACAGCAACAGCAATTGCGCAATATGCATAAAACTTTATATGGCATTTAAATTGTGTGCGTGGGCGTAGCATGAGGGGCGTGACTAGTTGGGGTAGCCAGCCCCAGCGACAAAAAAATAATAGAGCTCCCGCCGTGCCATCTTTCGGCTGCTAACTTCGACTGTTAACTCAAGCGTCACAAATACCGGAAATCGAATACAATTTGTAATTCTGATGAACAGTTGTGCAAAGCTTAAAGCGCACTCCTGAATCCTGGACCAGCAACAAGGACTCGCATCTGGATTTCCTGTGCTTTGCGCAACAGCCACTACTTGCCACAATGTCTCTTTGGACGCCTGCTCTGGCTATACCCTATATTCAACTTGTATTAGGCCAGCAGCGACAAACTAGCCTAACAGATCTTAGACACACATTTTTGCAGTTGCTTAATGAAAATAATCAAAAGTTAAGAACTGCTTCTGGCTTCTTCTAGTTCGATAGCTTGACCATATATATATTCCCCATCTATATTTTAGGAGAGTAATGAAATAAAGGTATTTCTAATGATGTAAAAATCTGCTCTAACAGTCTGCGGCGGTTTACATAGCTAGAACTGTGCATAGGGTAACTTCTAGTCGGCCATAACAAGTCTCTAACTTTGTTTGTTGTAAGTGTTGCCGTTGGTGCTGCTGTTGTTGTTGCTGTTGTCCTTTTGTGACTGTTGTTGCTTTTGCTTCTATTGTTTATTTTGTGTTTCGTTGGATCTCTCTATGCGCTTTGCTTTCTGTTTTGGACTCATTTCGTTATCGACTCAATGTCGACAACAATGGACCGAAATGTAATGCCAAATTGGGCGACATCGTTTTATGTGCTATTGCTGGTTGCTGTTCCTTGTTTTCGTTGTTGTTGCTGTTGTTGTTGTTGCTGTGGCTCGTGGTGCATTTCTTTTTTGAAAAGGTAAAGCATGGCGTGTGCGTCCACTCATCATCAGGTGCTCACTGTTAAATTTCGCACACGTAGCAGCATAAAAATTGACACCGATAATTCGTATGTGTGTGTGCGTGTGCCATCGAATATGTGTGTGGACGGGGTAGCTGAGGCAACGTTACGTATGCGCGATAAACACGCACACGTAACGCACACATACATCATGTCGTGCAAAAATTTGTCGGTTGAATGGTTGAATGTCGCGACGCTGTTTACACAAACAAAGTTATCAATTTTACACACGCCCCGCATTCAATTTCCCGGTGGATGGGCTACCCCGACCGTTGGGATAACAGCATGTTATCACCCCATGCCTCCAGCCCTTAGTCGTTCTCTCCTCAGCCCGCACCTTTGGTTCGACGGCGTGTCGGCATTTCCATCAATTCGGTATGCAATCAATGTCCAAATCGAAGACGCAACGCGTCGAAGCCTCTCAGCAACAATAACAAATGGAGTACCAGAGGTCGGCCGCCACGGGTTGCTTAACACATTTCCCCAAAAAAAGGGGATGACAACAAAATGCAGTTATATTTTTAAGCTGAAGTTTACACAGGTCAGTCAAACACAATATGAACTTTTTCCATTCCCAAATTTATTTTGGGTCAGAAAGGCTGTTTTTTTTTTGGCCAGGACTCTTACTGATAATAACAAAGTCACCTAGAAATGAGAATAAATTTTTTGATATAATAATTTAAATTCTAAATATTTGTTTTAATGATACGAATTTCACTGTAGGTTTACTTTCATTTTTCTTTTTCGTCTTTCGTGTCCTTCGACGAATTGAAGTCTTTTCTAATTTGTTTTGTTTTTTTTTTTTGCAAAACAAAAAGAAATATTTTATAAAAATGTAAAGACAAGCAATGCCCGAGAACCAGCTTTTTCCATCTATCTCGCTCTATGTTAATAGGTATTTTATTATTCCAAGCTGTTAAGTTGTGTCTGGGTGGCCGTCTAACCAAATTTGAAATATGCACACTTAATTATTTTGTGGGCCAAAAAAAAAAGTCATATAATAATTAAATAAAAATGCCACATATGAATAGTCAAATAAATAAACATAATGAAATTAAACTTTTTGATCAGTTGTATTTTTAGTGCGGTAGCCATAATATTAATTTTAATGGTTATGTAATAATTGGCTTGCTAATTGGTAAATATATATTTTGCAATTGAATTAGATAAATATATTATTTACGACAACTCTGATATGTAAGCATTGGATTAATTAAATTGAGCTGTTTGATAACTAACATTAAGCTGTAATTTATTTAGCACGATGCGAAAATGATTTCACATTTTTGACATTTTGTGCTGCAAAATGCTTATCATACTCGTACAATTCCCCTCGCTCCATTCCCCGTAACTTAAAGCGGAAGCCATAACAAGTGGAGCTACCCACTTGTGCATAAAATTTCACTTAGAGCATTGAGCGATGTGTTGCCCAACGAGTGAGAGGGGGGCGACTGTGTGTGATGGATGGGGCTGGGTAAGGGGCAGAAGGTGGCTCGTAGCTATGGGGCGCAGGGTCATGGGGAAATGTCGCCGCTCAGTTGAGGAATGTTATCGTCTTGTTAGTGTAAAATAATAGATGCCAAGTGGGCTAGTAGACAGAGTATTGAGTGTCTTGATCCGGGTGGCCTGTAAATATTATAGCTTAGTGCCCGTTGTGTGACAATTTTAGAATATATTTGATGATTTGTTTTTCTCAATTTTTCTACACGTTTTACTGCTAAGACAACAGCAAAGCGATAAAAATACGTTGCCCTACTAGAAGGAAATGCGCGTAGGTAAAATTGTAAAAATTCCATTGAAATTTCATTTGTCTGACAAAATATTTATAATAACTTTGAAAATTCAATTTCTAAAGAAAATATGTTAAGCGAATTGGCATTAAGGGCGACACGCCTGTATACGTTAGGTGTGTGTTTGTGTATGTGTGTGTGTGTGTGTGTATTGTGAGTGTATTGGTGTCGCTGTCATTGTCTGCATGCTAGAAAATTAAAATCGACCATATGTTGCCTCATCGATTTTGATAAGGCGCTGCCGCCAGGGTTGCCACCCAGTTGCGACAGGCTTCATATCCGTTTCCGCTCTAACATAATGGGTCACGGTATGTGCATGTGCGTATATAACTATGTGTGTCGCTGTGTGCGTGTCCGTGTGTGTTTGTAGGTGTATGTGCGCTTTCCGTTTTCAATTGAGACGCGCCCTGACAAAACTTGTAAAACGCGCCTTGTCATGCATGAGTTTTTGCCATTTTATTAATGTTGTTCCTGTTTCTGCTTCAATTGTTGCGCCTCTGCTTTATTGTTGTTGCTGCTATTCGTTTTGCTGCGTGACACAAATCAAAGGACATTTTGAAAGTGTTTTTTCCCTGTATTCAAAGCCATATTAAATATTTCATAAGCACTTCTTTCGGAAAAAGACGCATGGAATTTCTAGCTGCAAGGGAACGTTCGTATATTTATATGTATATGTTCGAGCCATAAGCACCCAACATCGCTGTCGCCTAATGGTATATGTTACAATTAAATTAAGCTTACGATAAATGTTGCTGCAACATGTTGCTGTCACAGTGGCAGCAGAGCGCCTGCGCCAGAGCCGAACCATTTGCATAGGCCACTCTTTGCGTAGGTTAGTTTTCAGAATGCTTTCAGTTCTTTAACGCGCCTCAAGCCACACAGAACGTAGCTGTGCGACGACCAATTGACGTGACCCGGTGACTCACTGTGACTCGCCGTGACTCAGTCACGAGATAAACACGAAGTAAGACGCGCCGTAACAATTCGGGCAGCTCGTTAAATTAACGAGTGTCGCGTTTGAGTTCGGGCAAACAAAGGCAAAAAAGTAAAACCGAAATTCGCGTAACGTGTAACGTAATACGTATACGTATAAGAAACGCAACGCGCTTGAATGCGTTACGCGACGCATGAAATGGCGGCACGCAATTCGCGCTACATTGAATCCAAACGCATCGCCCACAAATTGCTCTAGTCCCTTGCAAAAGGTAGAAACGAGAATTTCCCAAAACCAAAAACGAAAACTAATACTCATGACTATCTCTGAGTGTCTATGAGCTCGAGCATGAGTACACGTACAATTAAGTGTATTAGTAAAACGTGACCAGACCGAAATTATAGCCATGGGCCAAAAAGTAAACGTCCGCCTACCAATTTCTCAACAGCTTAGTGTTTAATGAAGAAATTGCTCAACTTTGGCAGCCACCACGACCCCAACTACTCTGGCCACTCGAATCACTCCACTGGTCTGCCTGCGGATGTCATGGTGATTGAAAACTCAACCGCAATGCGGACTCGTCATCATTTCAAATGGATGTGACTTCTTCTTCGATAAGACTTAAGACTTAGGACTCAAAATCTAATCCCTTCCGCTGGTAACGCGTCCGCAAGCAGCGTCTCTTCCCTGCTGCGCCGGAGTCGTGTGGCCTTATAAATTGAGCCTGGCTGTCGGCTGTCGGCTGTCGGCTGGCAAAACAATATGGCGTTGACTCATTTAAGTCGCTGGCAGTGTCTTTGTCTTGAGTTTTGCGATTGCCATCATTTATTTTAATTACTTTTTACTGTTGTCGTCTTTGGTTGCAGTTATAATTTAATAGCATCACAAATTGCGCATGAAATGTTGTTGGAATACTTTGTGGCGATGCTTGTGATCATGGGATTAACCACAACATTCGATAAGCACACAAGCCGCATGCAACACTTTGGTAAGTATCCTGCAAATATATATATATATATATATGTGTGTATATATAAAGCAATTGCCAACTCCAACAGCAGCACGAATGGAACTTTTCGAGCAAGAGATGAAACTGGCTTTTCAGCTTGAGCACTTGTCGAAATGGTTACTAATTTATCATAAGGCTTAAACTGTTTCAATTTGAGCGAACGAACATTTCAGAAGTCGGCCAGAGTAGCAAATTAGATTAAAATTGAATAGACCCAAAGTGCAGCAAGGAATAACATAATTATTCATGCTATCAAGACAATGCTTATTTAATCACACCAGGTATACGAGCACCTCAGCTGTCTCAAGTGCTTAACCGCAGTCAACTTTGCGGCCAATTCTGGCTGCTCTACCACATAGAACAGAGTACTTAACTGAACTAAATAAGAAATTATAGTATTTCTAAAAATTAAGAATCTTAGCACATTTTTATTTTCCCAAGCTCTTCATTGGCTATAAATATATTAATTACTGCATATTAAGGTCACTCTGTGTGTATTCAAGCTATATTTTGTCGCAATGGAAATGGGTAAAGCAGGGCGAAGTAAGAGGGCCTATTTGTAGAGGCACTGGAATTCGCAAGCTATAAGAAATGTATGCTAATATTACATTTAATATATTCTATATTTATATATATATATGTTTATTTATAATTTACATTTAAAATCAAGTGAACTGGAAAAAGTAAATTCTCATTCAAAAATCGTTTCACTTAAACAACCTTTTTTGCAAACTGAGCTTTAATGCAACATAAAAGTTGTGTGAAATTTAATTTATACATATTTATACATATACATACGTATACACACTAGATATTTACATATTAATATATGTATTAATTTCAATTCAAATTACAAGTCTGTCCAGCTCAAATCATCGATTTACAGTATCGTGCACTAAATGTAATTGATTTATTGATTGGAAAGATTATGGAAATCTTGTATAATATTTGTTTATATAGTAATACAAAACATTTAAAATAAGTAATTCAATTTAATAGACTTAATATACTTCACTTGCCTAATGATTAGTTATGCCTTAAGCTGCTCTTCGACTACTCTCATTTGAATCGATTGATGCCTGCCTAGAACCACAAAGTAAATTAACCTCACTTGCATATTGAATATGAATATGAATGAATATGAATACGTAATATCAATAAATATGTATATGAATATTTAAAAGCTGAGCATTGTAACAGCACAGCAGAATTTCTCACTAAATAGTTCATGCAACTGCTCATTGCGTAGACTTATAAAAACGAAAGAGTTATTCGCCTGGGTGTTTATTTGTGCTGCTTGTTTTCTGTATTTTTTCGGGCAGAGCAAATGCAATTTCTCATTTATTATTTATGGCACCTGGCCTCAGTTTTAGTGCCCACTGTGGCAGGGGCATGGTCGAGCTTGTTGCTGCGGTTAAGCTCAACAGTTTGAAAAAAAACCAACAAAAACAGAGCGAAACACACGGCACTGGTTACTTTTGAATGGCGTCGGGCACTTTGTATGTAAATACAAAAGTTTTATTAAAAAAGAAGAAGAAGAAGCAGATTCTATATTTTTTATATGCGTGTGTGTAAATTGTATGTTTTTTATTGTGCGGCACACAAAAGCAATTTCATTTGTAAAATGTTTCGGGGGAGGCGCATGTGAGGGCTGCGGCTGTATCAGCAGTTTCAATTAAGTGTTTAGCGGCATTTTATTGCTCAATATTTGATAGCCCACATGGGCTAATGGGCGTGGCAATAAATCAATGTACACAAATATATATATACATATATATATATGTATATAAATATATATTGTATTTATATGATGTATGTTAAGTAGGCACATATTCTCTTTGTGTATTTGTCTTTGTATTTGTATTTGCTTAGGCACTCGTGGATTATTAGCGCATTTGTTGGCTAATACACAATATTGATAAAGCGGCCTGCACATAAATCACTTGCCTCAAGTGAGACCCCAATGATGGATCATAATGCGAAATGGTCTTAGCCATAGCCATAGACTCGCATATGAGCACATACATATCCATATAGAAAGTGTAGTATGTATGCCAATAAGATGGTAAACTTTGGCATAAATTAAGCACAAATACTCGTTAATCAAATGAATGTTGATTCGTATGTAGTCTGGCCATTCATTCACTCACACACACCCGAACACCCGCACTCATTCATATCCATTTGCCGAGCTGTCTTCTGCAACATGTAGCCAAGTGTTTGCCCATCATTCCGATTTGGATAGAAACGTAGACGTTGATGTTGGAATATAAATGCACATGAATACATTTAGATTGACATTTAGATACAGTTATTTAATACCCTTTTCAAGTGTCTGTGGTCTGTCTCTCTGTCGGTCTGTCGCTCTGTGTGTGTGAGTGAGTGTGCATGATGGAGTGCGGCAAGTCTCGCATTGAAGTAGTTCCTAACCACTTGACAAACGTTTATTGACACCAGCCATTGACCAGGTTGTAAACCAACTTATTCTCTCTTCTGTCTTCTGTCCATCCACAGCGCTGGCCGAGGAGCTCTCCAATCTGATACCCGAGGAGTACGAACCTCAGTTCGACAACAACACACAGCGTGAAATAATCGCTGCCCTCGGCACCACAGCTCGCATGCATTGCCGCGTACGCCATCTGGGCGATCGGGCCGTTTCCTGGATTAGGCAGCGTGACCTGCACATTCTGACCATTGGCATCATGACCTACACCAATGATCAGCGATTTCTCGCTCGACACATCGACAACTCCGATGAGTGGGTGCTGAAGATCGTATCGGTGCAGCCGAGAGATGCTGGCATTTATGAGTGTCAGGTCTCCACGGAGCCCAAAATAAGTCTCGCGTACAAGCTCATGGTTGTAAGTAAGTATCTCCGGGCTCCAATTGAAATCCAGCGTAGTCTACAGACACTAGAGATCGCTGTACGGAAAGTACAATAAATCTTACACAATTTCATATATGACAAGTGGGCCAAGCGGCGGCATCTTCATGTTTAGACAAGAGTTTTGATTGACACAAGATAAATCAGTCAAAAATGGGGCTCATTTAAATTGAAGTTTTCGATAAAGAACAACTTTATTAGCTCAGATGAGTTTTAAAGAAAAATTAATATTAATATACTAGTCAAAGTAACTGACTTATTCGGTTTTATTCTTAATTATATTTATTCCAAAATTCATTGGAATTGTTTTGTTTTGTGAAGCTACGAACTCTCCTTGGTATTTAATTATATTTTAGTCGAATATGCAGAGAAACCCATAATTAACTGGTGTTGAGGGAATGACTAAGAGATTAATTGGATTCTTGTTAACAAGAAATAGCGATAATTAAACATAGAGAAAAGACAATTTAATTGTATATACAAGAAAAAGGAATCAGAAAAAGCCGCTAAAGCAGAATAATAATAAAAAAAGAAATATAATTTGATGTCAGGAAACAGACAATTGAGTCAGGCAGCAAGAGGCATATCAAGAGAAACTGCAAAATATTTACAAAGCGTAACTAGGTCAGAATACAGCAAAAGGTAGTTATGAAATTACGAAGAAAAAAATAAAATATATTAAATTTACTTATAACTTTGTAATACTTTAGTTTTCACTAACGCAACTTGGGCTGCCTGCTGAAAGTTGCAGTTGAGTTGCAAATTTAGTTACAATTTCACAAATCTCATCATGAAAACTAAAAAATAAAACTTATTTGACAACATAAACTAGCATTTAATACTTGAAAAAGTAAAACTTTTACATTTAAATTGAGATTGCAAACAATTTTTGCGAGGGTGGGCTACAGAGTGGAAGAGGAGGCGAGGCTAAGCATTAGTATAACGAGCTGTGAAGGGCCAGGTGCGAGAGCGCAGGAGGAAATGATAATGAGCTTAGTCCAAAAAGCAACACACGATGTAGGACAGTGTAATTGACAAATGGCTTGCCTTTCATTGACAGCATCCAAGGCACAAATCCTGGCCAATCGTGAACTGTTCATACAAAGCGGCAGCGACATCAATCTAACATGCATTGCCCCCCAGGCGCCAGGACCCTACACGCACATGCTCTGGTACAAGGACACGGAACTTGTTAGCGATTCGACGCGCGGCGGCATACGCGTCATCTCCGAGCAGCAAATAAAGACGAGCAATCTGGTCATATCGCGTGTACTTCACACGGATTCCGGCAATTACACATGCTCCGCGGATAACTCAAGTGAGTGCCAGATGACCCAGCATACTCTGCACACACACTCACACACACACACACCATATATATTGCCTACCACGCCCTCATTCTCGTTTGCAGACAGCGACAGCGTCTTTGTGCATATCATTAAGAGCGAACAGCACGCGGCCATGCAGCATGAGCTGGGCGTCAGACTGGAAGCTGGGCAGAGCTTGTGGCTGCTGCTTGGAATGCTACTGCTACTGCAGCATATGTCACGCCCCCTCCTTCAGCTCCAGCTCCAGCTAGTTGGGGCCTAAGCTCTCAGTAGTCGAAGCTTATGTTTGATGTCTGCTTTTGCGTTGCCCTTTGGATGGTCGGACGGATGGACAGGGATGGTAAGTTTGCGTTGCGGCTGCTCTATGGGGACACTGCAATTGATTTCATTGCTCACTTACAGCTCTGGTGCCCGGATAATAGGGATGATGCCACGCCCACACTGCCCACTGCGCTGCGCCGTACATAGAAGAGACGCACACCTGTGTATATAGTGTAAATCGTATTGGGTTTTTTTCCGTTTAGGCAGCTTTAAGTATTTTTATACATAATTAAGTCAACAATAATCGATAGGTCGACTAATCGATAGTTCGTTAAGTCGCGCATCGACTAGCCCATAGGCCATAAGATAAACGAAAACGCAAACGTAAAATCGAAATAAATGTAAATAAATGTTTAATCTTAATTAACAATTGACAAAAACCACGTTGAACTGTCGCTTTGAAGGTGTGCCGAACACATGTAGACATACACATACACATACACATACAAACTTACCTATACCAACTCTCATCTAGATTAATTATGATTAATTATGCCAGTGAGAGTGCAAAATTAAATTTAAAAAGAGAAAAAAAAAACAAATGATTAATTGTAATATGAATATGTATCTACAACGACAGTTTGGCATTTCCAAGCAATTGAACAGCATTTACGACTCTGATTTCCAGCTGTAGATTCGGCCTCGGGCTATGACCAAGATTATGTGGCTTAATTGCGCCGCGTTGCGCAGCGTGTGGAGCTGGGCGGTGTGGCACGTTGTTTCGGTAATTGAAAAACGATAAAGGTCTCTCCACACCTGCTCACTTCCTACACTCAAATACGACTCTATGCGGACCACTGTACATACGAGCAAATTGAAAACGACCCATGCCTGCGGCACAGATTTGCCAACTCGGTAATTGATAAAAGAGAGAAACTCGTCAAAGCAAAAGCCAAAATACATTTCGAAAAAATTACACGCTTTTATTTATATTTATTTGCGCCGCTTTCAATTTGACATATTTATTTTACAGCACTAAAGGATTCGTTGCCCACGCTCATCATAATTGTTTGTTGTCTGCTCAAATAATGAGCACAGATAGTTAATTAAAAAATAATAATAATATTGTTTAATATTGTTAAAGAGTTTTTTAAGTTGAGCAAATATTAATTTTTAGGCTGAAAGAAAAACAGAAATCGTGGGAGTTGAAGAGATAAGGAGAGAGATAAACTGGGGACGAGAGAAAAATGAGAAAGAGACATATAGATAGAGAGAGATAGAAAGAGAAAAAGAGACAGAGAAAGAGAAAGAGAAAGAGAAAGAGAAAGAGAAGAGAAAGAGAAAGAGAAAGAGAAAGGAAAGAGAAAGAGACAATAGAAAGAGAAACGACCAAGAGATCAACAAGCTACCTCGCCTCGACCGGATCCTCTCCCCCTCCTCCCGCTCCCTCTCCCTCTCACTCTCCAGCGCCCTCTCCCTCTCCCTCTCCCTCTCCCTCCTCTCCCTCTCACTCTCCTCTCCCTCTCCCTCTCCATCTCCCTCTCCCGCTCCCTCATCCCTCGCCCTCTCCTTCCCTCATCCCTTCCTCCCCTCTCCCTCTCCTCCTGCCCTCTCCCTCTACCCTCTCCCTCTCCCTCTCCCTCTCCCTCTCCCTCTCCCTCTCCCTCTCCCTCTCCCTCTCCCTCTCCCTCTCCCTCTCCCTCTCCCTCTCCCTCTCCCTCTCCCTCTCCCTCCCTCTCCCTCTCCCTCTCCCTCGCCCTCTCCCTCTCCATCTCCCTCTCCCTCTCCCTCTCCCTCTCCCTCCCTCTCCCTCTCCCTCTCCCTCTCCCTCTCTCCTCTCCCTCTCCCTCTCCCTCTCCCTCTCCCTCTCCCTCTCCCTCTCCCTCTCCCTCTCCCTCGCCCTCTCCCTCTCCCTCTCCCTCTCCCTCTCCCTCTCCCTCTCCCTCCCCCTCTCCCTCCTCCTCCCGCCCTCTCCTCGCCCTCTCCCTCTCCCTCTCCCTCTCCTCTCTCTCGGTTCTCTAGAGAGGGTGTGACACTATAGAGCTTAGAGAGATATAAATAGAAAGGGAGAGAGAGATAAGAGACTATAGAGAGAGATATAAATAGAAAGGGAGAGAGAGATAAAGAGACAGAAGAATAGAGTGAAAGAGAAAAGAGATGGGAATAGAGAGGGAGAAAGAGAGAGATGGATTAAGTTCGCAAAATAATTTGAAGTGAAATAGAAATTCATAGCGAAGTTGCCACACATCAGCAGTGGGCGATGCAAGCGCGCAACTGCAACTCGGGGTTCGAGTGCTTAAAGAAAGAAGGTCGCGAAATTGAATTTTAATCTGGCTTGAAAAGCGCGCACCACCACTTGCAGCACTTGCACTACTTGTACCACTTGTACCATAAGTAGCCGCAGTATGCTTTTGTGGCTTGCGCTATAATTTGAAATACCAAACCCCAAAAGTTTCACGCTGCCAAAGACGCCGTTAAGTAGGCAACACAATAGCGTTAGACGGGTGGGGGCGTGGCTGGCAAGTAGTGCTCCAAAGTAGGCAACACTTGAGCGGCGCTTAAGCTAATAGGCATGAGTGACAGAGATAGAGAAAGAGAGCAGAGAGAAAGAAAGGGAAGAGAGCGGGGGTAGCTGGCACTTTGCATGAGCCAATACTAATTGAAATAAAAGCCGTGATGAGCCGGTGCTAATAGAACAGTAAAGTGAAGTATCATGCATAATGCTAAGCGTAACCACATCCATCACAATGGCCAAAAGAAGATATGCCCAACGGCTGTTGTGTTGGCCCACTCAGTTAACATGCTGTGTGTGTTGGCCCAGAGGCTTTTCAAATCTTTTGGGAATATTTTGCGTATCTGCAGCCGAGCGCGCTGACAAGTCCCAAGTAACATACATATTTTATTCAGATATATGACTGTGTGTGTGTATCTCTGTGTGTGTGTGTCTGTGTGTGTGTGTGCTTATGTATAACCCATTGGGCCATAGCCTCAGCTCAATGAATTGCAGTTGTTGTTGGTTTTATTGCTGTTGTTGCTTCACCTTCACTCATAAATTGTTCAGCGTGAAATAAATCAAACTCAGACTCTCCCTAGAACTGGAGCCTCTGCCTGAGACGCTGTCAGTAACAAATCATGCTCAGGGCTGCGGCCCACAACTGGCATTGGCCTGTGTAGTCGGAGCTGGAGCCGCCGACGCTGCCGTAGCCGTTGCCATTGCTGTAGCTGATGCTGAAGCTGATGCTGACGCTGGAGCAGCCGTACACTTGTTTACGGCCTTAATACGCACAGAGTCAAACAAGAAAACAAAAATTGCGTATACGCTGTGTGTGCCAGTAGCAGACGCAGACGCAGACGCAGCAGCGCCCCAACGGAAGTGCGGAAGTTCCGACTGTGCGAACACGATGACGGCAACAACAAGCATTAAGAAACTACGGGGCGTTGTCGCTGCGCCGGAAAATATTTAATTACTAATGAGTTTTTCGTGCTGCAGCAAAATCAACATTTTCAAATACGTGGCAGGAAAAACAAGTGTGCACAAAATAAAAAATAAGAGCGAAAGCCTTGTAACATTTTTAATTTGCTAATTAGCAGGCGTTAGCCTTGCAACCAATTTGATTGATAGTCCAACACGCGGACACAAATACACTCAGACACACACCTATATAGAAGCTAGCTGATCACACAATTCATTATTCAGTTAGCGCTGTTAGTCAATTGATTATCAGGTATTATGCTTGACAAATTTCTATCAAGCTCTGCCTCTGCACTGCCTCCAAGGCAACCAATTGGTTTCAATCCGATGAATATTTGCTGGCTCACTGCGCACCGGAGTGATGCACGGGACGGGAAAGAGCTGGCGGGTGTTTGGCTATAATAAATTGTATGTACATGCATGTGTCATGATATATAGTACACACATTGGCACACAAATACGCACACATACAGACACACACACGCACACGTGAATAAATTATGATTGGTATTCACGCAAGTTTGGCAAAAACAATGACAACTCTTAACATTTAAAAAGGCCTTAGTCATCGTTGTCGTTAACTTATCCAAGAAAAACAACAAGAACAATAACAAGAACAACGAGCGACACGCTGGAAGCTGAAAAAGTTTATCTCTCGATATTATTGGGGCATAACTTTGCGGGTCATAAATCAAATTAGATGCCCGCTGACACTTAGCAACACATAAGAAATGCAAACGATTTTATTAAATATATAATGCAAACCGCAAAGTCTACAAAAAAGCCAACAACAAAGGTCAGATTGAATCAGTAGAAATACTCTCCCCATTTTATTTGTTTTGTAGCTAGAGTACACATATTATAGCGTTTGAGAGCATACAGACGTCTAAATGCTCTTAAAATATAAAAAACTTGAAAATTAACTTATGAAACTTACTTAAGTTGTTTTGATTTTTATTTACAATAAGTTTGACTTAGACTTTGCTTCATAGTCAAAATAAAATATAAAAAACTTGAATATATATGAAAAAAATTAAAATTAAATTTTATATCTATTCGCGCTGAAGCAGATGTGCCTAAAGATATATCGAACTGGTTTGGCTGAAAGTCAATATACAAACTTAAAACCTAAACATGAATTATGTTTTTGAAACAAATCATATATACTTTTAATACTATTTATAACAGCAATGAAAAACGTTAAAAGTATAAACAATTTAATGACATTATTAAATATATTTAAGAAATTCGTCACATCAAATGAAAATATAATTTTATTTGGTCAAAACTTTAAATTGAATACAAAAATGTTGCCCACAAGTGCTCGTAAAATCAATTTACATAAGCAATCGTAAAGAACTCCATGCAAATGCCAGATATGCATTGGAATAGCAAACGTGCCTGAAGCAAATCAATTAAACTGAGCGTAAAAGCGTTAGAAAACATTTATCATGCGATTTGCTCAGCCAGAGAAGGCTTTAAGTTGGCAACGACTTTTGCACAGAGAGAGATTTAAGTGATTTGCTGACTGGCTTTAAAATCCAAGTCAGTTTTGAGGGTAATAAATGGCCTGGCACTATTTGAATAGCCTCAGCACGAAAATCAACATTTTCGGTTTGCTTTCGTTCGGTTTTGGCTTTTTTGGCTCTAAGTTTGGGCTTGCGTTTGCGTTCGGGTCTAGGTTTTAATTTAAGTTTTGTTTTAACAGCGCACAAAAGTGCAAAGTGTCTGCAATTTCAGTTGGTTTTCATTTTATAGAAACCGCCATAATTTTTTTTTTGTTTTTTTTTCTTTGTTGCATTTGATTTTGTAGCTCGTTACTGTCAGTTTGTTGCATGCGACACGCGATGGCCGCGACGTAGTTTTGTAGGCCGTTTTAGAACCGGGCCTCAATTGGGTGGCAGCTCCAGCTGCGAACATTCGCTGCAATGCCTGCCGCATGTAGTTTAATCTTCAAACAAAATCGTTTGATCCATATCGCATGGCCTGACCGACCGAGGGAGTTAGGGTTAAATGTGGAGGGGGT